ACTGAGTGGACTTGTAGGCTCTAAAGTTTTACATCGTTTTGTTTTTGAGTGCAGTTATGTAACAAAAAAAAAATCTACATTTGTAAGTTGTACTTTCAGTATAGATTGCACTACAGTACTTGTATGAGGTGAACTGAAAAATACTATCTTTTGTAATAAAAATAATATATCCTTCGATTTCAGTTAACACAGAATACAATATATATGAAAATGTAGACAAATATTTAATAAATTTCAATTGTTTAACAGTGTGATTAAAACGGCGATTAATTTGAGTTAATCGCGTGAGTTAACTGTGATTAATCGACAGCCCTAGTTAAATTCTGTATTGTAAACCGCACCTGATTTTTTTTTTTTTTTTTAAGTCAACAGAAGCTAGGAAATCCAGAGCTCAGGTTGCTACTCTGTCCCTAATACACTTTTTGTGTATGGGCGTTGCAGGAAGACAACAACATCACACACTTTTCAGAGTCTACTGCAATAACTAAATGCAATAGTGAGTTAAGGAGAGAAAGAATACTAACTTCGAATCTCTTTGGTTTTGTCTATATAATGACAAAGCCTAAACAGAACATTGTTAAGCAATCTTAGTATGGAGTACAAAACATTTGTTTCTTGTGAAATAGGCATATGACCTGTCAAGCATTGATTTTTCTTTGTGCTTTGACTTTATCTGAAATTGACATTTCTGTATTTGATTACAGCTTCAGTTTGCATAAAACTGTATTATGCCCAAATGTATGTGTGAACTTGCGTTGTCAATTGATGTTAATACCAATCTAACAATATTATCTCTGCTGCAAAAACTGTAGGAAGAGCACAAACATTTTTGTTTTTAAGAGTCGTATAAGTTGTTGCTGTTACGTGTGACTTTTTTGTTTAAATAGGTCTTATTTCCAGCCCATCTCTACCCAAGAAGGCTATTGCTCCATTTGGAAATGTTCATTATTCTTCCATTTTGGAGTTGGTCTCCAGGAGCAACAAAGAAAAATAAAAACAAAATGAACCTTGGAACTGATTTAGTTCAGATAAAACTATAGCTCAGTGCTATTCAGCCCAACACAACAAAGTCAGTAACAAATTATGTCACCATAGCTTTTCCATGTCACCTTTTGCTCTTCATCTGTTTTGGAGATAGGGTGAAGAGAGTCAGTGACCCACTGTATAAGTGTCTCACCACTTCTGATGACTGATTCACCTCATTCAAACTCCTACTGCACTAGCAATGTAGATTCATGTTCATTTAGAATTCTGATTCTTAAGGAAAACACAAATTCATGGAGAAACTCAATCCACATTTTATAAAATAGTCTAGATTGGGAGTTTTCAAGCTTTCATAGTGAGCCACCCTCTTTCCCACTCAATTGCATGGACCACTTCCCTTCCCACTGGCAATCAAATAATATTTCTATGTTAAGAAGAGCAATTTTAGAAAACGAAGGTATTTTAGCTTTTTAATATGCTTTAGCAGCTTAAAAAAAGGGGGGCCCCAGAATCAGCACTCTGTGACTGTTCAGCTCTCTGGAGACCACCACAGAATAAGTCTTTGACCACCAGTAATCCACAGACTATAGTTTGGGAACTATTGATCTGGAAAATTATGAAGGTGCCAGTCACCGTTACATACTTAGGGTTGAGTATTGCACTTATTGCAAGGTTAAGTTAGAAATTACAGTAGAAATCTTAGATGAATTTATGAAATCCACAATAAAGCCAAATGTTTATCATGATTATGTCTGATACCAAAAAGTGTAATAAGTAATCTGTTGATTTCTTTTCAAAAAGAAAATTACCGTACTCCTACATCCTTTCCTTATTAATTTTATGTTTAGTGCAGTAGCATCTGGAGCACCAGTCTTAAACCAGTGCCCCATGTACAGATAGAATCAAAGCCATTAATTGTTTGGCAACTAATTTACTCTTAAAAACATCTTGAAAAAAGATAAGGGGAGTGAAGAAACATTTCTGATAGGAAAAGAAAACTAAATCTAGCACTGTGGTGTACATGGCATGATCTTGAGGCTCATAACCACAGCAGAAGAATAGTAAAATCTGGGAAGACATTTGCTTCACTATTGAGAAATTGTACAAATGAATAAGTGGCTCAACTGCTACTCAACTTATTTTCTCATAAAAAACTCTTTAGAGTAATTGTGGACCAGATAGAACTCTATATTTATGTAGATTAGATCCCAAATAGAAATTCTAATGTCAATTATTGGGAGATTTCATTAGCATCTTTCCCATTTTACAAATAATTGTCTATTTTCCATATTGTTGTTTTCTAGACTAGGGTTGTTTTCATACCAGTGTCAGAATTCACACTTAAAGTTATAATACTTGTAAGACAGTTTATAATACTCAATTACCTGCTACTGCTAAGAGTTTCAGAGAACATAAAAGTTATGTAACATATTGAACCTTGAAGGTATATTTAGAAAGGACTTAAAGCTTCAGGGAAATGAAGTCTTTATTTACAGTCTTTAGAAAAAAACAGAAGCCAGCTAAGGCTGTTCTCTGAAGATGGATTGAACAAGTAATGTGAAAATCCTATTAAAAAGAGAATGAAATCTTCTCACGTAACTGCAGCATTACCCAAAATTTTCGCCACCCTGTGCAGAAAAGGCTGTTACCTTGCAAGAAGTACTTTTGTGTGTGTGGTATCCAAACCTATCACATTCTTTCAAAGCAATATTTTAAAAGTATTGAATATCTATGCATCTCTGCATATGCCTTTTAGGGGAAGGTTCTTATTTCTGTATTTCACTTAAACTAAACATTTGATGGATTCTTAAATTTTGATGCCTTCAAATCAAAACTGGATGCCTTTGGGAAGTTATGCTTTAGCCAAACACAAATTATACTAGTCAAACACAAATTGTTCAAAACAAGGGTAATTGGGTGAAGTTTTATAGCCTCTACAGTATATACAGGAGTTCAGACTAGGTGATTTAATGATCCTTTCTGGCTTTAAACCCTATGAATTTTTGTTGTTGCTAGTGAAATGTGCTCGTTTGAGAACACAGGCATCTGAAGTCTTCCATTTATCCACATCTGAGAATGAGGGGGTAGTTCATTCTCCTTTCCCATTCAATCTTAAGATCACTGCTAAGACTTACAATTGGGGCTTTTAATGTTGTTAGTTTTCTGATATAAGCATCTGACTACTAGGAAATGGGCTGAGACCATCAACTAATTTCACATAGGCCATGAAACAGCCAGATGTGGTAACTACCATAGAACTCTTTATATCACATGATCATAACAATGAAGTAATTTCTGTTGATCACCAAGAGAAGTCAGGCTTTTAACTGACTTATTACTCAATTTTGATAGTAGCCATTCCTAAATTATGGCTGTAAGTTTGAAGAGATCAGTAACAAAGCTTCTTCCTGATGTCAGACCTTGAGGTGTTAAGGTACGTCCTTAACTATATTAAAGATGAATTTAAGCATTGCTTCAGATGACTGTCAGATTATCAAATCAGGAAATAAAAGCAAGAATGTGAAATTACCTCAAAATGATAATACTTAGCACAGAGCAATTTAGGAGATTTGTTTATTCCTTATACAGGGCTAACTAGTTTTCTTTTCTTGATAGTTAATTTTTATGCCCAGACCAGTGTAAGGGCAAGTTTTTAAGATTGGCCCCTTCTGAACCAGTATTCTCTGTGGTTAAATTAGCAAGTCAAGTCCCCCCCCCGCGTCTTCTTTTTGAGTAAAGAAAAGATACTTTTTTTTTTTTTTAAGGGTATCGATCCGTATTTTCTCTTTCCATGAAAATTGAACAGTCTGATTTACTGTAAAATACTAATACCGGATAAGGTGGACATGTGCAAGATGCCCAGCTGTTACGGTGATGGCTGCCTGGAGGAATCTTCCATATGAAAAACATAAAAGCAATTATGTCTAAGCTAGTTATTAATACCTAGAGAGGTGTGGCAAAGATGTTGCAAATTTACGGATTATTGCAGCTTGCCTTCTCTTGGTGTGAGCTCTCTCTGCTACCTGTGTATTACCAGTCACCTTTCTTGGGCAATGTCTATGTGCAGAGGTCAGCCATAAGCAAGTCATAAATCAATTATCCTTTTAAGATTATGAATACATAAAAGGTCAATTTCTTTCTGATATACTTACTGGCTTTACATTAAAATGAATCTTTGCAGGATAAAGTAGATTTTTCTCCTCCTAAATTTCAGAATTACTTTCTCTCTCCTCCTGTTGTGCCATGGAGACATTAGATTGCTCCCATTCCCAATTATTTTCCTAGAATTATATTTTAATAACTCCCCCATCATTTTTTGAGGGATTTATTTATATTCATCCAAAAATTCAAATAAATCTGTCTGGCATTGGTAGCACATAAGACTAGTAACAGGACTCTGAGGCAATTAACATTTAAATGGTTATATCCTAAACTTCTATGGTAATGTTCCTCCTCTTCTGGAAGAGTATTAAAGCTCAGGGCAATACCAGACAAATTAACAAATCTCGTATTACAGATACAAAATGTAAAAGTATGATGGCTTCCTGTAGTACATGACAATTTGTTTTTTAAACTAAGAAAAAGTTTTTCTATGTAATGAGTAATTTAGTATTAATATTTTATTTAACAGGTTACACTTAACACTATTAAAATAATATAGATAAGTGTTAAAAAATAGCAGTGCCACAATTTTGTCAATTCTTTCCAATTCTATAATTGACAGATTAGGCACTACAGTTCTGTTTCATAAAATCAAAGTACGCCCAATGATTCAATTAAGTTAAAAACTGTGCTTTTACATTTCATTGGGTTTTCTTTATTGCATAATTTCCAGAGGGTTCTATTACTAATAAGCTCTTCATTTGAAGTGGAGCAAATCTGTATGTTAAGCTAATTAATCATATAGATTTATTGCATTTAACTCCTTATGCGTCATGTTAAAAACCTATATTTTAAAAATCAGTTGAAGACATTAACAGGATGTGTTCAATAATATCCTCTTTTTCTATTTTCAGAAAAACATCAATATTGGAGACATTTAAACAGCCATACTATCCTTGAAGGGACATAAGTAACCATACATTAACATGCCTGCTGTGGCTTCTGTACCTAAGGAACTGTACCTCTGTACTTCACTGAAAGATCTTAACAAGAAAACAGAAATAAAAGCAGAGAAGACCAGTACAAAAAAGTATGTGAATTTCCTTGTTTAATTGGCTTTGTATTAATTGTTCAAATTCCACAGCTAAGTAACAAGTGATGCAGTGTTTAATACTCTTATATATGGATGGTGATAATATAGACCAGTTTTCTAAGTAAGCATTAACTCATTAAGTAGCAATGCTGCACTTCTGGCCAAATTCCAGCTCAGGTTGTGTACATAAATTCCCTCTTGAGTTTCAATTCAATAGCATAGCTTCCCTCAGTCCTGTATAGTGTTGCTGTGGATTGTCAAACTAAATATGGAGAGATCATCCAAGAGATAATGTTTCAACAGTGAAGTGAACATGACATCTGTGAAAGATTTTAAAGTGCATTAGGATTCTTCGAGACAACAAGCTATATTAATGCAAGTTATTAACATCGGTTGAAAAATTCAGCCATCACATGGGAATAGAAACAGCCTAACTCTGGAATTTGTAGACTGAATCTTCATGCACTTCATTGTATGTTTTCATAGGACTAGTGCTTTAAAAGAACCAGTCCACTCTGCATTCTAGAGAGAAGTGGTTCTTAACAGTCCCTCTGTAGATGGGTTCTTGTTTGAAATGTTTTAAACTGCCATTTAATTTATTACTGAATAATTTCTTTTCAGTACTTTAATTAGCAAGCTAATAAACAATAGCAAAGAGAAATATAATTCAGGGGGGAAAAAAGTAGCTGTGATTTATTTTAACTGTAAAGCTTGGATAGTGATGCCAAAGGGATGTTTAAACTACATGGGCACAGAATGTGAACATTTAAGTCAAGAATTCATTACAAAACTAACTGTTCTTTTGAAAACTAGGTCAACAATTGTGGGGGGTTTTTAATTGACTCTTTCCCTCCAATTTCAAGTTATGTGCAGAGTGCCCTTAAGATCTTCAAGGCAGCGGAGGAATGCAGGTTGGACAGAGATGAAGAAAAGGCCTACGTCCTATATATGAAATATGTGACTGTATATAATCTTATTAAAAAAAGACCCGATTTCAAGCAACAACAGGTATGTATCTTTCCGACTGCATTTTTTATATTGGTAGAAGTAACAGAAGTACTTCGAATCAGTTGAGCTTTATATCTGAAGATTTTAGGGGTAGTTGAAAGAATTACATGTGTGCGCACTACTGAAACAGTAATTTCAGTAAAGGAATTATATTTATTTAAATAAACTTTTGTAGTTTGTGTTGATAAGTGAGGCAGTCCATTATTGTAAGCCTCCTTTATTACTTTCTAGTACAGTACACTTTGCTAATTACATTGGCATATCATCTACTGGACATTAAATAGTATGAGCCCCGTTGCTATCTTTCCTGTTAAAGTCCTTTTCTGGTACAAAACTAAATTGCGTATTATTTATTCCTTTAATTAAGATAACCTTAGTTAAAAAGTGGATAAAATGTTTTTTTTACTCTCCCAATCTTGTGACCAGAGCTTGTTAACATTATAAAAATTAAATATTAACATACATATGACTATTTGCCTTGTTTATAAATAGTGTGGTATTTTTCTTAAAATATTTGAGAAGAACATCTCACTTTGTAGATGTAACTATGGCAATAATATAAAATTAGTTTTGGATTATTTTTCCCTTCAGTAGGTAAACTTTAGTGTGCTGTAAACTAGGTGCTAAATGTTGTTCTTGGTAGTGTCTGCAGAAGTATTCTATCCTGTATGCACATTGGACAGTATTAATTGTATGCTGGGGTGGTTCTTGTTGTTGTTTTAGGATTACTTTCATTCTATACTGGGACCTACAAACATAAAAAAAGCTATTGAAGAAGCTGAAAGACTCTCAGAGAGTCTGAAACTGAGGTATGTGCAACATTTTTTACAAAGCAATGTGTAGATATTGCTGAATATCTGAAATTTGCACATCTGGTGCTGTAGTTTTGCCTTTGTTTAGACATTGTTTGCAGTAGTTGCTGATACCTGTAATCCAGAAAGATTAAACTTTCCGATTGAGCCTTTTATTCAAACTGGATTTCATTTGCCATCATTCATCCCAGTCACTTCAAACCGATGTGCTTAGATCTACCTTCAGTGTCTCTCTAACTTAATACCATCAACAAATGTCAGCTGTTGTTTTTCCATTAATGTATACACAAATCAGAGGCTCCAATGAAAACCTCTAGATAATTGCTGTTAGTCACTCTATTAAAAGTCCTTCCCTAGTATTCTTTCCTGTCACGTGATCATATTAAGGCCAAGTGTATGCCACAAGCATTTTGCCAGTATAGATATACCAGTATATTATACTGGGAAAGTGCTCCTAGTGTGGATGCAGCTTTTAGCAGGAAAACTGCACTTTTGCTCAAAGGCAGTGTTTTTGAAAGCTGCTTTTTTGGTAGCTTATGGATTGTCTCAAAGGAACAAAGTTTGAGGGTTGATACAGTGACTAATTATTTCAAGTGTATTGTGCAAATATGTACTTGAGCAATTAAAATATGTATTGACATGTTTAAAGATACTTAAAAAGAAAAAGATGGCTCCCGTACGGTCACAGAAGCCACTTTACAATAAGTATATGAACCAATTTACTTTACTATTTTTCTGGCATAATTTTTTTTCTAGAGAGTAGTTAATTACCAAATTTAAAACTCTGGGAGGTTCAGGTAGTAAAACACCTTTTGCCTTGAAGTAAGAGAATCCCAATATGGATAATCCAATTTGCACATCATAGAAGCAGTAGAAAAATTTGACTTAATTCACTTTGTAAGAATTGTATTCATATTTTTAAGTGGTGGCTAGACATTCAGTATTGCTGAGATTCAATAAAGCACTTAAGCATGTGTTTAAGTCTCACTTGAAGTTAAGGGGGCTGAAGCGTGTGCTTATGTGCTGTCTCAAATAGGGATGCTTCCTGAATCAGTGCTTGTGTCACTAACTAGAAAGTTACATAGAAACATCAGATTCCAAACTTGCAGCCTCATCCCTATGGAATGTCCATTACACTGATAGTGAACCAGGATGTGACAGGTACATTTCACATCAGTGATGTAGTTTACTAATTGAATGTCCCTGATTTGACTTGGGACAGTTCAGTGGTTGAATTGATGACTTTCAAGAAGTCCTAATTAGCTAACATCTCATTAAGGTAAATGGTCATTCATATGACTACTTCTTTACAATACTAGAGCTATCTTTACAATGAGAGGTAAAAAACTTCATATTTAAAAAAAATAGGTTAGGCCAAATGTCAACAAAAAAAAAAAAGGCACCTAAATAACTGACCTGTTTTTTTTTGTTTTTTTTTTTTCCAGGAGTCCTGAGTACCCAGTAACTCGTACTGATTTTATTGGAACTCCAGTGTTTGAATTCTTTAACGATGGCTACTGGGTGCTCAAAACTGTTGGGAAAAAAATCAGTCCATTTATTTAGGTACCTGATGCACATAATTAGTTGTGATTTTCTGATGCAGTCAGTCTTAAAAATATACTGAATAAAGACTAGGCTGAAGACTTATCTGGCTGAGAAAATATAGAAAACTATAGGTTCAGTTATTCTTACAGTAATTAGCGATACTGTTACTTATTAGATGCCAGAGTAGATTTTCTTAGCAAAAATGTGCCCAGGGAGAATGACTAATACATTTGGGTATCAACATTACTTAAATCTTATAAGTAAATCTTTACATGTAGTTGTACTTTGTACAAATGCAGAAGAGGGTGGGAAATTTAACATTTTCGGTGATGCCAGAGCAGAAGTATTTTACATAAACAGCTGAGGTTGAGGGAAAGAAATTGTAAGCCTCGAGAAGGGCAGAGGACATCAGTTGGTCCCAAAAAACAAGGTTAGTTATGAAATGCAAGAAGCACAGAGAGGAATAATATCAAGCAGCTACTGAGGAAAATAGGAAGAATTTGGGAAGTCAGGAATTAAGTGTTGTGAGACCTCAACATTTAAATGTTTGGGGGGAAAATTGCACAAAGTTACTGAAGCACAAGTTAAAAACGTTTTTGAAAATGGACTTTTTCCTACTAGATATGAGGAAGCTGAAGTTCGGAAGAGGCTTGAAGAAAAAGAGAGACAAGAAGAGCAGCAGAAAAAGCAAGAAGTAAAAGATGATGGAAAGGCTTTAGCCAAACACACTTCAGAAAATGCAGTAGATTCCAAAGGAAAAAACCAAAGGGTAATGGAGGGAATATTTACAGACATGATAGTAAATCTGTAAATGCATGATGTTTAAATGGGCACTTCATTAAATCAACTGTTAATATGAGGCCACTTATTTTATTGAAGAAACTGAGTTAACTAGTAACATTGCACCCATGACTAGATTGTTTACCTTGTAGAAAGTTAAACATTATCATTTAAAGATAACCATTTTAAGTTTACTTCTACCATTTTTGGTAAAAGGCTTTATATTTTTTATGGCAGAATATGAAACTTTTGAAAGTTATGAATTTTTATTAAACAATTTTTGTCATAGACCTTTGTGGACATATTTGATACCTGCGGAACTCCACAAAACTCTTAAAGCTCAACAGAATAGACCTCAATTCTTCCGTAAAGCTCAATTTTTTTCCTTAAATTAAAAATTGTTATTCATTAGTGTATAACACTTGTGCCTTCATATACTTTGAGGTTTACTGGTAACAAAATTGAGCAAGTTCAAGTGAAAGCTGTGTTCCGTCCTTCAAGTCCTCTTAAAGGCAGGCTACTGGCTCTCCACCTGGCTGATGATGACACCATCAAATGGCTGGGCACATTGCGCATGTGCAGAGAGAGAGTCAGTCCTCTTATGTCTGGATAAATGCATGAGTGGACATTGTTTTTGCTGCTCTGTCTAGATATTACAAGCTTTCTTGATGAATTCCTTTGCTTTATCACTTTATGTCAGATTGTTATTTAAACACAGTGAATGGAATTGTATCCCTAGCTTTGTGCATAGAAATGATCCTCCATGCTGCAGATCTTATGCTTCTTGTTTGAGAGGGTGCTGGCAATCTATGGACAAATTTCAGTTGGGCCTGGAATCTGTGATTCGAGTGGGCAAAAGTAGTGTCCCAGGGAGTCATGCATCATTTCTCTCCCCTGCCTTCCTCCCCCAAAAATCACCCAGCAGCAACTCCACCTAACAAGCATTGCAGTCCTAGGCTGTGTTACATCTTCCACAACTCCCCTCTGTTATGGGCAACTGCCCTCCTATCCTCTTTCTTGGGACTTCTGGACATCTGACAGCAGATCTTTGTAGCTATTTCCCTCTAGTGGGTCCCTTCCTGTTGTATTCATGTTTTGCGAGTCAGGGTCACTTACTGAACTTGTTACTTTATATTAGAAAATAAAAACAGCAACTTAACACTTTTTTTTAATAATATAGATCAATGGTGAGAAGAAGGGTTCAGTGGAAAGAAAAGATCAAGTTGACAGATTGAGTGGTAAGTGATGCAATGTTTCACAGGAAAAGTCTTCATTGTTTAACTGGAAACAAAGCTTCATACAATTTAGTTAAACAGTGAGAGTAACTAACCATTGGAACAACTTACATAGAGGCATCATGGATTTTCCATTATTGGCCATTTTTAAATTGTGATTGGATATTTTTCTAAAACATAGTCTCCAGAAATTATTTTTGGGACGTTTTATGGCCTGTTTTATGCAGACTAGACAAGAGGTCCTCAAACGGGGGGAATTTCTTTGGGAGGAGGTGGGGGGCGGCCTGAGAAACGTTAGGAGAGCAGCGGCTACTGTCCAACTACCCAGCTCTGAAGGCAGCGCCACCGCCACAGCAGAGAAGTAAGGGTGGCATGGTATAGTATTACCACCCTTACTTCTGTGCTGCTGGCAGCGGCGCTGCCTTCCGAGCCGGCCAGCAGCCGCCACTCTCCACTCTGCCTTCATAGCTGGGTGGCCATAGATGTACTTGTGTAGCAGAAGCACAGGAGAGAGGGACATAAACAACCACAGACACAAGAAGGAGGGTGCGGTCTAATAGGTTTGAGAACCCCTGGACTAGACGGATTCTCTGATAGCTTCCTTCACTTCCCCCCGTTATGATTTCCTCTCTTTAAAATCAAAATTAGTGCACCATCTTAATTTAGCATTGTACTTGTTAATTATGACACTTTAGTATATCAGTTGAGCCTCCCCAGTCTGCTTTTTTGTTAAAATTACATTTGACATTGAGGTTTTTTATGATGAGTTTGCTCACTTCCCCATGACTTTCATAAAAGTTGTCCTCAATTTATGTGTCATCAGGTGATTTGGTAGTGATTACTTTTAGGAATTACTGAATTTTGATCACTACACAATATTTCAAATGTAAACTGAACTAACCGTGGCATGGTCAAACAGGAGAAAAAGAAAAAAAAAAGTCACCAGCTACAACTGGTATGAAATATTCAAGGCATATTTCTCAGAGACTTTTGTAAGAAAATTTTGATTTAAATAAAGGACCCTTTTCCCCAGGCTCCATTTCTACACTGTACAAATGTGAAACTCTTCTCCTGAATTCTCCTTCAACCTATAAACCAGTGCAGACTAGTGTGACAATACTGATCATTTTAAGCTGATGGTTTTTAAATATTGTATAAAATCAAAGAACAGCTACTGACTGTTATAGTGAAAGCCAAGAGCTGTAGATATTCATATCAGATGTCCCACCTTCACGATTTTGTGGGCAGAATTTCACATGGGAGATGAGCCTCAATGTTCAAATTCAGTTTTTCCTGAAACTATATTATTCTGTGGTCTTATTTATTTGCAAACAAGAGTCTTGACCTCTCCCATGAGATATTATCACAAATGATTTCTGTTTCTCTTTGTAATATATTTTTGCATATAATAGTTCCTGTATCTCAAGGAGCAATCACTGCTGAGAAACTGTTTCCAATGATGATGGACAAAAACATCGAATTGCTCATAATGGATGCTCGAAGCTTGAAAGATTATCAGGAATCCTGTATTCCAAATTCCATCAGTGTTCCAGAAGAGGCTATCAGTCCTGGGTATGGAATAACCTTTGTGTGGTAGAATCTTGTGACTATGCACTGATATTAATGAACTCTAACCACTTGGTGGAAGAGAAATAAAATATATTTCTCCAGTTTACTTACTATATTCCATTTTAGACTGACTGAAAACCATTTCCTTATACAAGAGTTATGAACAACTTGTTAAAGTGAAGTAAGCTTGTGCTTTCAGTTTCAGAAAGTAACTAGCATGAGTGAATGAATGAGTTGTGAACATTTGGCCAGTTTAAGCTTCTAGGTGCACTAATATAAGAACAGATCTAGGTTCATTGTTTCTTTAATATATGTAGTGCATATAATCATACCTTTATCATCTATACACAGTCTAAAAAATGTTTTTAGGCATTCTTGGACAAAATGTCGTGTTTGTACTCAAACACATTTTCCTATATTCCAGAGTCACTGCTAATTGGATTGAAGCTAAACTCCCAGATAGTTCTAAAGGTCCATGGAAGAAGAGGGGACATGTTGATTATGTTGTACTGCTTGACTGGTTTAGTTCTGCAAGAGACTTGCAGCTAGGAACAACTCTACAGAGCCTGAAAGATGCACTTTTTAAGGTACACAAGTTTGGCATTTTATTTGTCTAACTTTATTATCCTGGTTGATGAGAAGTGGTTTTTAAGTAACTGTAATTCTAAAATGCAGGAAAAACAGATAAAACATTCTTAGCATCTCTTCCTATGGTTTTCAACGAGACTGTGTGGTTTTGATACCACAAATGTGTGTCTCACATTTTTCGCTTGCTTCCTCTTTCTGGTTGAAGACAACATAGCTAACTGTGTGGGGAGGGTAAGTGTAATAAATGTTGTGAACCATCTCTTTACAAATTCTTATCTGCCTGACCTACAGATCATTTGGGGAAGTGGCTGTCCTTGTATTAGTACATGGGTGGGCAAACTTTTTGGCCCAAGGGCCACATCTGGAAATAGAAATTGTATGGCAGGCCATGAATGCTCACAAAATTGGGGTTGGGGTACAGGAGGGGGTGAGGGCTCTGGTTGGGGGTGTGGGCTGGAGTGGGGCTGGGGATGAGGAATTTTGTGGTGCAGGAGGGTGCTCTGGGCTGGGATTGAGGGGTTCAGAGGGTGGGAGAAGGATAAGGGATGGGGCAGGGGGTTGGGGCGCGGGGAGAGGCTCGGGTGCAGGCTCCAGATGGCGCTTACCTCAAGTGGCTCCCAGAAGCAGCAGCATCTCCCCTCTCCGGCTCTTATGCAGAGGCGCGGCCAGGCAGCTCTGCGCACTGCCCCGTCCACAGGCACCGCCCCCACAGATCCCATTGGCTGCGGTTCCCGGCCAATAGGAGCTGCGGGGGCAGCGTGCAGAGCAGAGCCCCCTCGCTGCCTCTACGCATAGGAGCCAGAGTGGGGACATGCCACTGCTTCCGGGAGCCACGTGGAGTGGCCCCCGATCCTGCATCCCAACTGGAGTGCCAGAGCACCGAAGTGGGGCAAGCCCCAGACCCTGCTCCCCAGCAGGAGCTTGAGGGCTGAATTAAAACGGCTGGCGGGCCGGATTCGGCCCCCGGGCCGTAGTTTGCCCACCCCTGTATTAGTATGTCAAGGACACGTTCAGTCAGTCTCTCTCCTCTCTCTTGCTAACTCATAATACATCATTCCTTGGAGCTCTGGGAAGTGGTCCACTATCAAATGTCTAATGAGGCAATCCATGGCTGCCAAAGTGGAGGTAAATCTCTGTGAGCCAGAAGCCTCCAAGATTGGAGGAGTTGGGAGAAAGTGAGAAGCCCCCCCCATCAACACTCTTGGCCATCTTCTCTGGTTCTATTTACTGGGGGAGCACAGATTAGATTGGCTTGAGTTTCAGCTACAATAAGAGTTTAGAAATTGAACAGTTCTATTTTAAAATGGTTCAATGGTGAAAGATAAACTTGATAGAATTTACATACTACAATTTTAAGTGTTTCCCCTCTCTGCTTTCTTGAAATAGATTGAGATTGTAAAAGGACTCTTGTGCACACAACACTTTGTCACCTAAAGCTGCACAGTTAGAAGGACTGAGAATTAGTGCCGGCATAGCTTGTTTTCTATATGTATTGCTACACATGTTTTGTGAACCCCACAAAGCTCTCTGGTCATATTAGTGAGCTCAGGACAGGATGGAAGGCTCAAGTCTGAAATTCTGGGCTTTTGTTTGGTTGATGGCAGATTTTTAAAATGTTAAAGCTAATACACCTATTCACAGAACAAAGTTAACCCATGAGGCATTAGCAAGCATATGCTTACTATAAATGGCATACTTTCAGAATTTAAGGGTTGCTGCTAATACTAGTAAGTATTTATATTATGGTGGTGCCTAAAGGCTCCAGTTGGGATTAGAGCCCCATTGTGCTGGGTGCTGTACAAAGATAGGAGAGAGAATCTTTTCCCTAAAGGTTGTGTTAGGGGGCTTATTCCTTCACCCTCTCATTTCCCTGGTCCTTCTCGCATGAACAGAGAGCAACAATACCCAAAGTCCAAAGGCACAAACAATTCGATGTTTATTGGGGTGAACTTCCAGCAAGCATGATTCCAGTTTCCTTCCTCAGTGTCCCCCTTCCCAGCTCTGACACCACAGAGCCTTGCCTATGTCCCTGTTCCCATTCCCTCCCCCGCAGCGAAACATGATTCCAATTCCCCCACCCCCAGTCCCCATTCCCATTCCCCCCCTTACTTCCTGATTGACTGCAGACGATATAGTAAAACTTAAGTTCTGCTTAGCTATACCTTAACCAATTATTTTACTAAAATTTAACTAACCAATTCTAACATACTGTAATACGGTTATTTAACCAATTATATTCCACCACCTTAATTGGTTTACACCCAACAAAAGTAATTATACAGCAGACAAACAATTACAGAACCAGACAGAGACCATGCAAATAAACATACAAAACAATACAGAAGTGAGGATTTTACAACTACATCTATACAGACATAGGGGTTTTCCAGCTGTGTCTATTAATAAGTAAGTTCTTACCAGACAGAAAACTATCAAACTAAATTTCCTTTTACATGTTCTAGGCTTTTCTCTTTATCTGGAGGTGATAAATCGGATCACCTCCCTAACAGCCCCAGATTCCAAACTAGTCACATTAAAATAAGGCAATGTGAGGATGTGACCGTTCACTTCTCATCTTATGGCTGCCTCTGCTGCTTAGCCAAAGGCCTTACTTAGCCTAAGAACAGAGCCTCAGACTGTCCCTTACACATGCAAAGACTAATTTTGATTCATTCTTTCTTTCTTTCATACCTCTATAACTAGCTAAGTGATAAAAATACACCTAAATTCTTAAAGTATAGGTCTTTGCAGACAGGCCTGAATAGCTATATCCTAACAGTTTGCAATCTAAATAATAACGATTTTACTGATTGATTGTCAATCTGAACAATAACTTGTCTGCTAAAATGTAACAGCCAGGCATGTAAGTTTTTTCAGCATAATTTGAGTTGTAATTTAAAGGCTCTGTTGCTACATTCAGAATGTCTGTCTCATTTTAACTTTTTCCAGTGGGAAAGTAAAACTATACTGCGGAGTGAGCCTTTAGTCTTAGAAGGAGGTTATGAGACCTGGCTTCTTTGCTATCCCCAACACACAACAAATGCTAAAGTAACTCCACCCCCACGTGGCAAGAGTGAAGCTGTGTCTGTCTCTTGTAAGTATAAGGAAGACATTTTAAATACATTTAAAAAAATAAATAAGCAATCTAAGATTATATACAGTAATTTAAATATATATTAAATTTAAGTCTGCTCCTGCTTTTGCTTTAGATTAGGATGCTAATTACATACATAATCTGTTTTTGTTTTTAAAAAAGCACTATATTTCTGTGGTTTTCAGTGGATTTTACTTATCCCTCTCTGGAAGAGCCAGCTCCTCCTCCACCACCTATTGTCCACGTAAAGCCCACTCCAGTAGAAGTGACTGAGAATGATGAAATGGGAAGTAATCAAGAGGGGAGGAGAGGATCACATAACACACCAACACCAAGTGCACCAGTTGCTACCCCTCAAACTGATGGTTCACATGTAGTCCACCCAGTATATGCGGTGATAAATATCCCACAGGTAAGATATGTTCTTTCTTGTTTAAGCTTTTATTTAAAAGAAAACTTATATGTAGCTCTGTATTGTCCATGTTAATTATATTTTATTAAAAAGAGACCTGTAAATGGGAAAAGTCTAGTTTTACTGTTTCCTCACAGCTTTCTGCATTTGATTGAGCATTGCTGACTTAATACTATTAAATTCCCAATTACTCTGATCAAACAGCATGTGGTGAACTTTAGCAGTTTGGTTCACGTCAGGGCATGGCTTACCTCTTAGTTATTTCAAACCTCAGTTTCCCAGTTGCCATGCCTCTGGAGCCTGTCTTCCCAGGCTATTAAGGTGCCTTAGTAGTCTGTGTGCCTTGGTCTTCTAACTGAAGCAAGAATGTTCCCCATATGGACAATCAAAAATAAAAAGCATTGATTTGCTCTTCTCACTGCAGGGGGCTCACAAGGTTCTTTGCTTTCCTGTTGTCACGGCCCTTTCTCCTCTTTTGGCAGGAGCTTACAGCAGTCCTGTTCCCCCTTCATCACAGGAGCATTAGCTTCCTTCTCTTGGCAATGTAGTTGAGGCATAAGGGAAAACTGGGTCTTCCCTCTAATTTAGACTTCAACCCAGGAACCCTAAACCATGAAATGGCTCTCACTTTTTCTTTTCCCTAGGCTACTTTCTATACTTTGCTCATAGCCTCAAGGGTCTTCCCTAGGCAGCCATGAAAAGACTCCTCAGACACTCTGTTCTTCCCTTAGTCTCTCCCTGGTCTGAGCCACATGCAGCTCTTAAATACCTGCTCCCCCACTCAGTCACATGCTCTGTCACATGGTCAGAAGAAAGGGAAGAATATGCCCAAGTCAGAGCTGGGGCTTAACCACCTTAAAGGTCCAGCTCACCTTGTGACAATTTGAGAACTAGAGTTGAGTTCTAATAATAATCAGTTTTAACCCTACTTACCTTCAAAGTGCTGTACAAACTGTTAATACTCACCTAATATCCTAGTTTTATTAATGGGTAAACTGAAACACGCACAGTGTGTGATTTGCCTGAGGCCACTCAAGACTCTTAACACTGAGTTCTCAGCTCTAGTCCTGTTCTCCAACTACTAAACAACATTGCCTTCTGGTTTCTGGTGGAATATGCAGATCAAGAAGAATTATGCAAAACCATTTAAAAATCAAATGGATGATCAAACAAAATGGATGACACAACAGTCTGCTTGCTTCCATCATGTTTGTTTTATCTGGCAGAAGTAGACTTTTTTAAGTTGTCTTTCAGTATTGCCCTTTCACATATCTTTCCTTAAACAATTTTTTTTACATTGAAGAAACATTATTATTTTGATTTCTATTCAGGGCTTTCTACTGAAAGCTTCATTATTATAAATCTATAGCATAGCAGCCAAGATGTTAAAAGTGAGGAGTACAAATCTAAGGTGGGTTCCCCCGCCCTTGAAAATGTCTCCTTCAGCCCTCAAGGAATGTTAATAAAGACCAGGAGTAACTGAAGTCTGCACAGAACTTTGATGGAACATCTTTCACTAATAGGTTCCATAAATGGAAGTTTTGAAAAGCAAGATGGCTAAAACAATGTGGTAGGCTTTACTCGTACAAGTCCAAAGGCAGTTTAGTTAAAGAAGGTAGTGTTGCTAGAGGATCCTAGTGCTATGTGATATTAGGAACTATAACAAATGTTTCTAGTTGACATTTTATTCTCATTTTATACTTCGTTTTTATTATTTCAGATTGATCGTACTAAAAAGCCTTCAGCAAAATTTCTTGATGATGATGATAATAGTCCAAAATCTGAAGGTACAACTCTTGACAAACATCCTATTCAGAATGGAAGAATGATTCCAGATCGTTCCACAAAGCCACCGTTTGAAGCAAAGACCATGCTGACAGAAGAAGAGAAAAGCCGCATACACGCAGAAACAGCTTCCATGTTGGAGAAGAGCAAACGGGAAAAAGAATTGCGGGAAAGGCAACAAGAGAAACAAAGAGATAAGCTCAAATTGGAGAAGCAGGAACAGGAAGAAAAGGAGCACCGAGAAAAGCTACAGCAAGCAAAAGAAGAGAGAGAAAGGAGACAGGAGGAAGATCAGGCAATTAGGAAGGAAAAGGAAGAACAAGAGAGAGCGTGCAAAGAAGTATTAGAAGCAAAAAGACAAAATAAAACTGAACATGAAAACACTGCTGCAAAAAAACCTGAGCTTGATAAAGTATCCGCGGAAGAAAGAGAAAAGGGGACTCGAACACCAGAAATGCAGAGGCGTGCGTTAGGAGATACATCTGTGACAGGGGTGTCAGTCTCAAGCAAGGTTAGTAAACGAGCAGTTCAACAGCCACAAAATGAAAATAGAGTAATCATTTGGCACAGTTTTGTCAGTGTGTATCAGATTGCTTACATTGGGAAAATGCCAGCGCTGAGGGATTTAACTGCAAGTGACTGGGTTTGGATTGGGACCTGACCTTTTTAATTTAAAACTAGAGGAAAAATGCAAAACAAACCCCAAAGGGGCAGATCCTCATTCCCACTTTGTGCTATTTGAGCAACATAAAATGGCCAGATTCTGCCCAGAGCTGGGCAGCAGGGAATGCCCTTTGGGGCTGGGGAAATCCCTGCTGATATAGAGCCAATAGAACTGACTCATGTTCTGTCTATCCTTTCATCCCCAGCATAGGCGGCATTTCAGAGGCATGGTGGCACTCTACTCTGTTATACCAATCCTCTATTTACTGCTGTAACTTGTGCTGGGGAAGGACAGAATCACAGCCATAATTGGTTCCCAAATGCCCCAGGTTAGACAGAACTCTTGCAGGAGAGGATAAAGGTCATAGTATTGTTAACAAGTGTGGGAAGGACAAGTAGTCTACTACCCCCATCCAGTGTTCTGTTTGAGAGCAGGGCTCCCCACTCCCTCTTCTGGCATCATATCTCCTTCCTTTATCCCACTAAAGCCTAAGAAAAGTGAACAGGATCAGTCGCATTTACCCTCCTGTGGTCATAAAATAGAATCAGCTAATCGGAAGATCTGAAGAAATAGGTTGGGCTTCACCGCAGGTTAATAGCCACATTTACAGCTTGAAAATGCACCATAAAAAGATGTTGAAATTTTCTCTAATCTTCAGATTAGGGGGGAGTGGAATTCATGCCTAACATCAGTGATATTAATGCAAAGGAAGTCTTTAATCACTCAGAAGCTCCATAAACTCAGATGAACAAATCTAGTGTCTTTTAATTTTGACATACATTTTGCGCAGCTCTAATAACAATGGGATGTTAGAAGTAAACATTTCTACTTTATATAGAAATATAAAACCCCTTACTTTTAAACTTTCTATACCATATTAAATGTAAGCAATTAGTCCATCAGATCCCTTTTTGTTTATCCTTTTTTTCTTTATCAATATTGTGAAGGTGTGCTTGCCGCTCCATAATTAGACTTGCGCCATGATTTTGTCTTAGATGGGACAAGAAGCAATGGGCTTAAATTGCAACAAGGGATGTTTAGGTTAGACATTAGGAAAAACTTCTTAATTGTCAGGGTAGTTCGGCAATGGAACAGATTGCCTGGGGAGGTTGTGGGATCTCCATCACTGGAGGTTTTTTAAGAACAGGTTAGACAAACACCTGTCAGGAATGGTCTAGTTCAGGGATCGACAACCTTTGGCATGCAGCCCGTTAGGGAAAATTGCTGGCGGGCCGGGCCGGTTTGTTTTACCTGCAGTGTCCGCAGGTTCGGCCGATCGCAGCTCCCACTGGCTGCAGTTTGCCGTCCCAGGCCAATGGGGGCTGCGGAAAGCAGCGCAGGCCGAGGGATGTGCTGGCTGCTGACCTATTGAGGTTCTGTCCAGTCCTACGTTTCTGTGATTCTCTATTTCATGCTTTGTATGGAATAGATCATAATTATATGACAGGAGTGCATATGGGGGTTCCAAGGTGCTGATTTGAGGTACAACGTGCCATAGTATGTATCTGTTGTAGTCACTGAAACAAACTGAGGTTTACCCTTCAATCTTTTGCTATAGCGTAATTTAGGGAACACTTCCTATAGCGAAGTGCCACTCACTCACTGACACTCAGTAATTCCATATGAAAATTGAAAGTCTCTTTTCAAAATCTTTTACAGCACACTGGGGTTAAATGACAACCAGAAAGTGGAGCTCAAAGAGAGGATACTGAACAAGATACTGAAAGACTTAAAGTAAATACAGAGTGTTGTATGTAGCTGAAAGAAACCCAGAGCAGATGTCATATTGTTGTAATTTTATCTCATGTTAAATTCCACCTCATTTATTTTTAAGATCTTCTCTTTAGGAGGAATCTGTGCTGTGTTCTGCAGCTGTTTGTGTTACTTTACATACATTTTTCATTTTTTCCTGTAAAAAGCAAAACATATTTAACACTTTCAAGTGAAAGTACCTTTTATTTCCTATGGGATTAACAAGTGTTTCATGACTTATTTTGTTATCCCACTGTTTTCCTTTTTTTCCTTTTTGTGGTGGAGTTTTGTTTTTGTTTTTTTGGGGGGGGGGGGTTTTGAGGAGTGGGAGAGTCATTCATAAATATTTAGTGAGAACATACAAACACACACATACCTAAAGTGATTTTGATAATAAAGGAATTGGAGAATCAAATTGTTTTATATGTGCAATTAGATGGATTTGCATTATTTTGGTGTGTGACAATGAATGTCATTCATTTAGATCAATTGATGCTAAATAATAGAAACATACTATCAGTTTTCTGCCCTAGACAAAAAAAAAAAATCCAAATTTCTACTTAGAACACTAGTGGTTCTTATTGAATTGTTCTATGTGTAACCTTTTAGCTACATGGAGAATTTACAGAATATTAAAGACAAACTAGACATGCTGCTCTGCATAACAATAACTTCATGTGCCTTTATATTTTAATTGTATTGTATTAGTCCCAGCGGGAGCCGTTGATGAGAGCACGAAGTGAGGAAATGGGGAGGATAGTACCAGGATTGCCTGCAGGCTGGGCAAAGGTAATTATAATTTCCAAAAATCTAGACACCCCAGGGCCGTCCAGAGGATTCAGGGGGCCTGGGGCAAAGGAATTTCGGGGGCCCCTTCCATAAAAAAAAGTTGCAATACCATAGAATGTTTTGGGTTGACTTCCCCCCCCCTTTAAATTTCTACGTGATTGTTCTTATTTTCTAAACTTTAAGATTATTGTTAATGAAATGACTGGAGCTTTATCAGCAATATTTAATGCATACTTTGGGAAGAATGATGCTATTCACTAGATATTGAGATCAAGTCACATTACTGTAGTCTGCAATCTCTTCATATTAGAATTATTCTGGCCAGTAGTTTTAGTAGTTTAATAGTATTAATCAACTAGTCTATTGAGGGATTTTACACCGTTTTTAAACTTTAATTTTGATCACCCAAGTTTCTGGATCCAATCACTGGAACCTTTCGTTATTACCACTCGCCAACAAATACTGTTCAGCTGTATCCCCCGGAAATGGCTCCTTCATCCACCCTTCCATCCACTCCACCAACTCATAAAGCCAAGCCACAGGTGACTTCTGAACGGGACGGAGAACACTCCAAATTGAAGCGATCCTACTCTTCACCAGACATAACCCAAGCCATTCAGGAGGAAGAGAAGAAAAAAATTCCTGTAACGCCTGCAATCAGTCGTGAAAATAAGTATGTCTGATAAATTAAGTCAAAACATCACAGCTAGTACAATATTATAGGGTCTCGAGTTTGCCCACCTGAATTCTTTTAACTCTTTCCCATTGGTTTACATGGAATGTTTCTGATAGATTGAAACTACATAGCTGCAGAGCTCAAAGCAGAACACCGTATACAGTGATCCCCATTGAACAGTGATTTCTCCTTGTTTACCAACAATAACATATAGAGATTTTAGACACCATTATGTGGGGAGCGTTGGTAAATGCTGACTTTTAAATGGCAGCCGTTTGTTTGTCTGCGTGCTGTCAGGCCTTAGGCTGCTGTTTATTGTGAAATGGGAAGATGTTCCATTTCTAAATTATAGTAGGTTTAATTCCTTGACCCAACCGTTTGGAAACATTGATCTAGTCTATCCCTGTGCATCACTGCAGGCCAGTATTTATAAATTGCTACAGAATCTCCCATGATTCCCTTGTCTAGTCTTGAATACCTTAAATGATGGCATTTTATGGCTTCCTCAGGGAGGATATTTTATTTCTTAGTGAGGAGGGTGGGTCTGTTGATATTCTATGTGCTTTGAGCATACGGATCTGCATCTCTGGCCAAGGACCGGTATCTCTTCAGAGCTAGTCAGTACCACGTGGTTGGAGAAGCCTGTTAAATGATATGAGGCATACTGTTTAACTCAGAGGTGGCCAAACTTTTTGGGCCGAGGGCCACATCTGGGTGGGGAAATTGTATGGAGGGCCGGGGCGGGGGTTGGGGTGTGGGAGGGGGTGCAGTGTGCAGGAAGGGGCTCAGGGCAAGGGATTAGGGCAGAGGAGGGGTGTCAGTATATGAGGGGACTCAGGGCAGGGGGTTGGGGTGCAGGAGGTGTGTGGGGTGCGGCAGGGGGCTCAGGGCAGGGAGTTGGGGCACAGGAGGGCTTCGGGCTCCAGCCCGGCGCCGCTTACCTAAAGCAGCTCCGGAGTGGCAGCGGTGCTCACCGGGGCCAGGGCAGGCTCCCTACATGCCTGCCCTGCCCTGTCCCGGCCCCGCACCGCTCCAGGAAGTACTGCGGCCCCTGGGGGAGGGCGGGTGGAGGGCTTAGCGTGCGCTGCCCTTGCCGTGCTTCCAGGTACCTCCCCCAAAGCTCCCCTTGGCAGCGGTTCCCCGTTCCCGGCCAATGGGAGCTGCGGGGGCGGTGCCTGGAGGCAAACGCAATGCACGGAGCCCTCCCCCAGCCCGGGGGCCGCAGGGACGTGGTGCCAGCCACTTTTGAGAGCGGCGCGGCGCCCGCAGAGCCACGGGGGGCAATCCCGCAGGCCGGATCCAAAGCCCTGAGGGCCCGGATCCGGCCCGTGGGCCATAGTTTGCCCACTCCTGGTTTAACTGCAAGGGCTAAAACTCACTGGCTTCTCAGAGCTCCCAATTTATTCTGACCTACGATATGAGGGAAGGATAGGGTGCCCGCATGACAGAACAGAGCATTATGATAGGCCATAAGGCAAACGTAGTAATAAGAATAGAAAACTCCAGTTTGCTAACAGCAGTTTCTTCCTTACAGACCAGTATGTTACACTAAAGCTGAAATCTCAAGGCTCTCTGCACCACAGATTCGTAATCTTAACCCTGTGTTTGGGGGATCGGGACCAGCTCTCACGGGGCTTCGTAATTTAGGGAACACTTGCTATATGAACTCCATATTACAGTGTCTCTGCAATGCACCACTTCTGGCTGATTATTTCAATAGAAATTTGTATCAGGATGACATTAACAGGTAATAAATATTCTTCTTCTATCTTGGATTATTTTAATTAATCCATGGCCGAATTCCAAATGTGTATTTACCACTGTTACTATTTTTCATTCAAAACATAGAAAATGGGGCCATTATGTTTTTAAAGCCTCAGTCATATTAAAAGTAACAAATGTTATAAATTTGTGAGGGTTTTTCGAACATTTGGATATGTGAGTATGCGCTTTGCCAGGAACTTTCTATTGCACCCACCATCTCGGTGCCTGGGTGTATTGCAGAGATTAAAAAGAGCAAGTCTTGCTAACCATTGGTACAAATCAGAGAAGTGGAAAATCGCTGCATCTATCTCCAATGAACCCTCTGGCTGTGAGCAGCAAAATGTTAAAGTAAATAAAAGTTTTAACTGCTTCAGCCTGGTGTACTTAAACTGTATCACATAAGCCTCTCAGTAAGACCCCAGTCCAGCAAACATTTGTCTGTGTGCGTGTAAAGTTAAACATATGCATGAGGGTTTGCAGGATCAAGACATACGTGATTGTCTAATCTTGGGAAAATTTACTTCATCTTCACACAATCTTGGATTAAAAAAAGGAAATTAATGTTTTGTCTTGTTTTAATGGCTTAATATAATATTTAGTATTTCTATTTAATTGTGTAGGTTAAATCTCTTGGGGCATAAAGGCGAAGTGGCAGAAGAGTTTGGCATCATAATGAAAGCATTGTGGACAGGACAATACCGATATATCAGTCCAAAAGATTTTAAAATTACAATTGGGAAGATCAATGACCAGTTTTCGGGATACAGTCAGCAAGACTCCCAAGAATTGCTCCTGTTCTTAATGGACGGACTGCATGAAGACCTAAATAAAGTAAGTAATCCCCTGCTGATAAATCACACATCTCAGTCAGATTGTAGAACAGAAATATAAAATGTTTAGTGGCAGAAGTTTTGTGCTATTATGAAGATGGAAATAAGTGGTACACCTCTACCTCGATATAACGCGACCCAATATAACACAAATTCGGATATAACGCGGTAAAGCAGTGCTCCGGGGGGATGGGGCTGCGCACTCCAGTGGATCAAAGCAAGTTCGATATAACGCGGTTTCACCTATAACGCAGTAAGATTTTTTGGCTGCCGTTATATCGAGGTAGAGGTGTACAATGTAAGGACTCGATTGAAAAATTTCTATGTATGCAATTGCATACCTGCTTTATGCACACGGGGCTCAAATTCTCTGCTGTGCTGAGTTTACACTTGACTCGGGTGGGTGGGTGTTTTTGTTTTGTTTTGTTTTTTTTCAAAGCCACCTTTCCCATCCCCTGATCTTGGGCTGCCCGAGCTGTATCCAGACACTGTGTGCCCTGCCCTGGGCCCACCTCCTGTATAGAGCAGATGGGACAGGTGGTGTAGAGTCAGCTACGCTAGCTTTGCACTACCAAGAACTTCCTTGTATCAGGGGAATCCTGAGCTGCCCTGTTAGGGGTAGCTTTTTGGCTGCTTTAGGACAAAGTAGCTGGAGGAGGAGCCAAGAATTGAGCCTAAAGATACTGCAATTGAGAGATTAAATGAGTAATTAGACACACGAATGGCCATTTAGATACAAGTGGCAATTTGCACATTGTTACCCAGGTGTAGCATGAGCCCATTTTTATTTTTAAGAAGAGTGTTTCCATGATTTAAAAATGGTGGTCTCTCCAAGAGCCTTGATTAAAGTGAAGTCCTTTGAAAAATGTTGTCTTTTCTCACACTTAAAAAGGATATTGTTTAAGATAATTATGGATCATTTTCTTTTTTATACTTTTTCCTTACACTTGTTTTTTCCTGAGTTAAATGTATAATAAAGCCAGCAATACAGTAATATGTATTCAGATGTTTCTTCATTTTAAAGTGTTGTCTTCAGTCTGTCTTTTTTACTTATTTTTACAACCTATTTTATGGCCCATTAGGAAGTAAGTAAATTGCAGCATAATACTTGTTCCTTTGTGTGTCTAGTGATGTTTATACATTCTCCATATCATGATCGTGAGTTAAACTACTTTACCTCATCTTATTATTTTAAATTAATATCCCTGTTTTCAGAATTTTGTTGTTGCATTTAAATCTATATGTCTCCTACACCCGACCCCACCCACGCAGATATTGGAGGCATAGGTTGCCAGAAAGGGAGACATTTTCATGCAATAATTATTGGCTTTTGGGGGAAAACGATGATTTGTTGCTCCTAATTGGATTCCATCACAGTTGATATTCACAGTGGGGATGGTGTAAATCTTTTTAAAGTATATAAACCAGAATGTTTCAAATATATTATCTGTACGGCAAATTATTTGTGCAAGAAGCCTTCAGTAAACTCCTGAAATACAGGTTAACTATCTAAATCAACTTCCATTTTATGCACTTGTGCTAATATTGAAGCATGTGCTGCCATTGGTTATGGGGTGTTCTACAGGTGGCAGTAAAATGAGGGGTGAAATCCCAACAATAAGTGTTTATCCTGGTGCTAAAGAGGACAACACAGAAATATGACCAGATACCAATTATATAGCTTGTTGGCATGCTTAAAAATTTTTGCATAGTGTATAAAACCTTATCATACAGCTTCCCATCTTTGTACTTACATATAAAGTGATGCTATATGGTGATAAGATATTTTAATTTTATAATATCCAGGCTGACAATCGGAAGAGGTATAAGGAAGAAAATAATGATCATCTTGATGACTTCAAAGCAGCAGAACTAGCCTGGCACAAACACAAGCAGCTCAATGAATCTATTATTGTAGCACTTTTTCAAGGCCAGTTCAAATCTACAGTGCAATGTCTTACGTGTCACAAAAAGTCCCGAACGTTTGAGGCTTTCATGTATTTGTCATTGCCACTTGCATCCACTAGTAAATGTACACTACAGGTAAGTTAGTAATAGAGAGGGAATGTGTGCTTTTACTGCAATCAAATAATTACGCTTTAGGTTTTTTGTGTGGTGCTACTTCTGCTTCAGCCTTTTTGGTTGGGGGTATGTCAATCTGGCCAGTGTAACTTGCTCTAGGATGAACCATGGTATATATGGTTGTCTTTTTCTTTCAATGTTTTTTATTTGGGCAGGATTTAAAAAAAAAAATCAATTTTACGTATATGACTACACTGACAGATGTAGGTGCCTTTTGTGCTACTGTAGTTTAAACAACTTTTTCGTAGTAACTAAACTCTTGATTGCAGGTCATAGTAGAATACTTGCTTTTTTTATTATTATTATTAACAAAGCAGTAGCTACATTTAGAAACATAACTACTACCTATGTGGAGTAAAAGTTATTTTCGTGAATAGATTCATGAACTAAAGTTTCCTAATTATTCTTATGAAACATGGTGCACATGTAGCTCCTGTACAATAGCAGACAGGTATTTGAGCTACATCTTTATTTTTATAAACACCAGGCTTTTAAGTGTGTTTTCTATGTTTTGTCCTAGGAATGCCTTAGATTATTCTCCAAAGAGGAGAAACTTACAGATAACAACAGATTTTACTGTAGCCATTGCAAAACACGAAGGGATTCTTTGAAAAAATTAGAGATTTGGAAATTGCCACCCGTTCTTCTGGTGCACTTGAAACGGTAAGACAATAAGTTGTGAACATGTATCTTTAAATGCAGTTAACTTGGCCTTAATGGAGACTTTAGGGGTAGTAAAGCCACAGACTTTTTAAAAATACAGAATATTATACAGACAACCTGAGCCCATGGATATCAAGAATTTACATCTAGTTTTCATCTGCTTCCTATTTTCTTTGGCCCCCATTCTGGAAACGCTCATATGAGTTGTCACATGTGTGTGTAACTTTACCTACTGAACTCAATGGAAGTATTTGCAGTATTGCAGCCTTAAATTGTAAGGTATCCCTGACACTCTGCTTAGCTGTGAAATTTACTGTTTAGTCTTATTTAGCTCAGCTCCCAGTTAAAATTAGTGAGTAAGAAATAATTATAAACATGGAATCAATTTGGGACGTCTCTTGAAGCATTGCTCTGGCTAGTGCTGATTTGTGCTCTCTCTAGGTTCTCCTATGATGGAAGGTGGAAGCAAAAGCTACAAACATCTGTAGATTTCCCTTTGGAAAGTCTTGACCTGTCACAATATGTTATTGGGCCAAAGAGTAATTTGAAGAGATACAACCTATTTTCAGTATCAGTAAGTAACCACAGCCAACTTTAAAACTTAGCGGTAAATCCATCTTGTTTAAAAAACGTTTATCTGTATGTCCAGTATTACAAGGTCACTTTGAGTCACGTGGGTTTCTATGCCTCCTGCCTGGATACAAATTAAACTGTAGAAAAAAGGAAGGAGAGCGAGTCTGATAGTTACTGCAATGGGATTTCATGTTGGTCAAAGTATGGCATTCAAGTTTATTATTCTAGCTAAGGGCAGAAGTGGTAGCAAAACATAGATTGGTTAAATCATGAAGCAGGCTATAAGAAAGGCTCTTGCCAAAAAGAAGTAGTATTGTTTTAATCTCTTTCCACTTTTTTTCTCCCCCCAGAATCATTATGGAGGGTTGGATGGAGGGCACTACACCGCTTACTGCAGAAATGCTACAAAACAGCGCTGGTATAAGTTTGATGATCATGAAGTATCTGAGATCTCAGGATCCTCTGTGAAGTCCTCAGCTGCATATATTCTCTTTTACACTTCTATTGAACTGCGAGGAGCAGATATAGCCACATAAAGTGTTTTGAGTGAAGAAAATTGGTTCTCTTTATAAATGTACAACACAGGTATTGAAATGCATATTAATATGCAAAACAGTGACAAATATATAGCCACTTAGTAAGGTTGCAGCAGCTTCTCTGCAACAGGGTCTTTCTGGTCAGTGCTATTGCTTAAGTCAGAAGACTGATTGATAATGCTTTTGGTAATAGCAACTTCTATGAACCCATAACAACAACCATACTTAAGTTATAGCTTATTTCAGAATTATATTTTTAGTCTGCTCCAAAATGAAATTCTAGCTTAATTAGCAAGTAAATGTCCTAAAAAATCCCACCGCGTATCTTGCTTTGTTTTCTTTTCTATCACTGTTATGGCCTTTTCACATTTCTAACCTTACGCTTGATTCTACTGTGAATACTCTAGAATGATGGAAACAGTTAGGAATGTAAGTGTACATATTGATTGCATACTTGCACATCAGAGCTATGTATATAATAAAATGTGGTCCTTTTGTGAAAATCTCTAGAACTCAGAGGATTGCTTTTATTTGCCAGTTCTAAATAACGGCAATACTTTTAATTCTTATAGGTATAGAAAAAGCAGAGCTGTATTTTTGTTAGCCTTTGTGAATATTTCTGCATTTAAAATTACTTCTAAAGAAATGAGATTTTCTTTAATTTTTTAATACGAGATTTCATGTACACATGCATTAAGAATATTAACAAAGAAATTATTTAAAATACACTATCCTGTTAAATGTTTGTTTGGGGGATTTGTTTTTTCTTGGACATCTACAAAATTTGATTATCAGCAGCAACATTTTGTACTCTTCCACAGAGTCCAGGCGCTCCACCGGGAAGGACAACTATCTGCTCAGAGTGAACTAGTTTAGGAGCTATTTTTGGTTCAATTCTACACATTTCCATTATCTGGCAACAGTTCATAGTTTCCACTCCTGATTTGCATTGGTCCTTGGAAGTCTCAGTCCTCTGTAGTGAGCTTTTATCAATATATGTCACTCTGGTTTATTTAAGAGCAGGTTTGACTCTTGCCCAAAAGTTAGGGACTGGTAGCACTGGAACTCATCCCAGAAGCTAACACAGCAGCACAGTACTAGGGAATACCACTCTCTTAAAGTAACTTACCTGTTGATGGGGTTGTACACACTTCCAAAGAGTAGGGGATAAACTGGTGCTCTGGTCAACATTGCCACCATTTTTACTGAGAAAGGCAATGACTTCAGGCTGTTTGAGAGCAAACAGTTGAGTGAACCAGAGAAACACAATTTTACAGATGCTAAACTACTATCTACACTGTGTTTGGCAAGCTGAACTCTGCATTCCACAGGTGCATACGTGAGGTTAGTCATGAAAAAATGTTAAGGCAATGTTAACGTTCAATCAAGCACCCAAAACCCAGGCAATGCAGAATTAAGGTTGAAAACTGACTTAATTGTGCCTTCGGCCTTGATACAACTTCATAACGTATCCATGTTAAACCTGCATAAGATATCACAAAGGGTTCTTTTGCTGAATCCAGCCTAGGAGACCTTCAGCCAGCATTAGCAAGGAGTGATTGCCCTAAGGAAAGGCAGTTAATGTTTTTCATGTTTACTCCAGCCAGGCTAATTAAGCTTTAATTGCTTGTTTCTCCTGTTTGATGCTGTTCTGACTCTGACAGGGCACAAGCACACACATGGCATGAGCACGATCTATCCTGCCCTAATGCTGAGAGTGCCTCCAAGTACTTAACTTGGCAACATTTAAAGAATAAATCCTCCTTCTAAGCTCTTAGCAGAATAAGCAAAGTCTTTGAGGCAAACAGGGACCAAGAGTAGAGAGAAGGGCTTTGTGTCAGATGCTACCCGAGTCATGCTTCTGCACCTCACTTGACACAAAGAGGATGCCGGATGCCACCCTGTCACAGGCACTACTGTGCTCTTTAATTTTGTACAATGCTGTGATATTACACTGATGGTGGGCTGTGTGGACTCCATATGTCCTGCTGCAACTTAAATTATTCCAGCACCATGAAATACCCTTCATTTCATGCCTTCCCACCCGCTCCAGCCAATCTTTCCACCTCACAAGGTACAAGCATTAATGGAATATGAATTCAGTGAAAATTACCTCTGCTTCTCTCTATATGAAATAGTGAGAATGCTAGGGGACCATGGTGATCTGTACCCAAAAAAGTAGCTATGCTATTGTGGGACTTCCAGGCAAAGTTGCATTGTGTTTAAAGGCACATTCTCAATAACAGATGCCTCTGTCAAACTCACATACTTGCTCCCATTGTACTAGTCTGCAAGTGTTGGTATTTCACCTGACATGACCACAGGGAGACTGAAATCTTCTATATCATGACAATGTCTGCCATATTTAACTTCTGTGCTATTAAACCTCTGAATAAGCATATTAATAATCATAATAAATATTCACATTTTAAAAGGGTCATAGTCAGGCTTCATCATTTACAACTAGTGATGAATTGGGAAGTTCAGAGCATTGCGACCATCTAAATCTCTCTAGCCACAGCTCCAGAAAGACAACACAGCATGTGTTCACATGTGGCAGGCTTCCTTCACACCTACAGGGGCTAGAAACAATTTTAAAACAAAGTTAAAATTTTGCATAAATCGGGGAGAGGGAGGCATATAGACCCTGGATTCTGTGCCCCAACATTAACTATTGAGCCATTGGAATTGTCCATTAAATGTACTAGTTAGCTGGAATTAGGTTATTTCAACATTTTTCGTTTGAATGTAGACTTGGAACACTTCACTCTGTTTTGCGGTGGGGGAAGCATGGAGACAGCAATAATAAACCTAGGCAAGAGGCCGTAGTAAAAACATTCTTGTCAGTTCGATGCGTGGTTTAGGCACTGGCTTCTGTGGGGTTATTTTTATTATTTTCCTTTTGATAAAGTGCAACTAGCGATATAAAAAAAGAATACGTATCATCCCAGTACAACTCAGGTGCTTCTCCCCAGCCATCTGCTGCAGTCATGCTTTTTATGCAGGACCCAGAGTGAGAAAAAAAGCAGTCGGCGGGGGAGAGGGAAATGGCTTTTTCTTGAAGTGAGCCCACCTTGGAGTTCTGGTGCTCTGTGCCACTAATGGACAATTTTATGCTGCATAGGGGAAGGGACTAGGGAGTGAAAGCAGTAGGGGACAAGTGAGGCCATGTGTGGGCTCTTGTTCCTACACACACAACTACAAAGAGGAAGTAGGGCGGGGGGGGGGGGTAGAGCAACGAGTGTAGGACAGGGGTGAGGCCATGTGAGCTCTTTCCTCAAGGGAGCCCCCTGCCTTTAAACACTGTCATTAATATCAGCACTATCAACTGGCTGTTGTTTTTGCCCATAGGCTTTCATACTGAACCTGCTCCTAATGCTATGGGGTGGGCAGGGTGGAAGGAGGATACATTTGGGAAACTACGGCAGAGCAAATGGACTGGGACACCTGGAGAGTAGAGAAGAGGGAGGGAAGAGCTTATCTGGAGGAAGCTATCATGTATTTGATTTGTCTTGTCCATAGAGATTGAAGGGTCTCTAAGCAAGCTCCATATCTCCCCTATGTTTAGAATGGGTGCTGCCGTAGTGCAAACCAAAATAATAATAATGGTGCTAAGAATATTAGTGAGAGGCTTTTTAGAAATAACTTAATAGAGGGAAGTGATGGGCTTTGTAGAGGGACACTCCGCCGCTTATTACACTGAAAGTTGTGCTGCAGAAGTCAACTTTCAGATTTCTCCCTTGAAATCAATTCCTAAGCATAATCAGAAAGATCTCAATAGACAGTCAAGCAATGCAGATGCACTAGTTTAATGGCAAAACAGGACTTAACTACCATTGTCAGTGAATTCTAATAATTGGACTGTTCTCACAGAGACATTTTCCTAGTACTTATGGGTTTTGGTAGGTACAGAGAAGGCTTTACAGCTGTAGAATAGGAGATAAGCTGCAGCAGACTGCACTGAGGCTTGTGGAATCTCGCTGACCTGTGCGTCATCGAAGCTGTACCAGTTCTGGGTGAGCGTGTGCTTGCAGAATGCCGTATAATGGCCACCATCCAGATAACCAAAATGGTTCTACAACAACAAAGTTGAGAGAGAGAGAGATCACTTTCAATTTTAGCAAAGGCTCAAAGCCAGGAATCTGGTGATCATTTTAATTTGCACTCAGCTATGACAATGATGGGGAAAAATAAGATTCCAGTTTCCCTTTACCCCAAAGAAACACTTGAAATAGGTAGAGCTCTGTGGCAGGAAGAGCAAGTAAATGCTGTCTGGACAATAATTACATTTTTTTTCACGTTGGGGGATCAAACTTACAGCCCAGCTAGCAGCTCTGTCCTGGCAATCCATCTCCCAGCAAAACTCACATTGACCAGGCCCAGAAACTGCCCCTTGTTTACCCACACTCAACAGCTGGAGGAGCTGTTCTTGTGTTTAGAAGCTTTCAGGTGGAAGCACTTTCAATCAGAGTGAGGAAAAGAAAACGGGTCCTTGAATGAAGGGCATTTACTAAACAGCCTGCATCAAGTGTTGGACAAAAATGTGCAATTAGCTTGAAGGGATCACTGACCTGTTCTCTCTTTCAATGTTTGCCCTGTATTTAATTATTTCATGGGCTTGACACAGGGTCTATCTACACAGGAATTGGCACGCTGAGGGGCACTGCATAATAATACAATAGTACCATGCCCGAGTAATAAAATAGGTTTGATATCACTGTACAAGTAGTACTAAATTGTGTTAATCATTGTACAGACCTGTAACACAATTATAAACCAGTAACAGTTAAAGAACAAAAACAACGAGGAGTCCTTGTGGCACCTTAGAGGCTTTTGTGGGCTTGTTTTTGCCGATACAGACTAACATGGCTACCACTCTGAAACCAGTTAAAGAGCAATTTGGCTCCATCTACATCAGAGATGGGCAAACTTTTTGGGCCGAGGGCCACATCTGGGTGGGGAAATTGTATACAGGGCCAGGGCAGGGGGTTGGGGTGCAGGAGGGAGTGCGGTGTGCAGGAAGGGGCTCAGGGCAAGGGATTGGGCGGAGGAGGCGTGCGGAGTGTATGAGGGGGCTCAGGGAAGGGGGCTGGGGTGCAGGAGGGGGCTCAGGTCAGGGGTGCAGACTGCGGGAGGGGGCTCAGGGCAGGGGTTGGGGTGCAGGAGGGGTGCAAGGTGCAGGTAGGGGGCTTAGGGCAGGGAGTTGGGGGCCAGGGTGCAGGAGGCATTCGGGCTCCGGGGTGGCAGTGGCGCGCACTGGGACCAGGACAGGCTCCCTGCATGCCTGCCCTGGCCCCGCACCGCTCCAGAAAGCGCTGCGGCCCCTGGGGAAGTTGGGGGCGGAGGGCTCTGCATGTGCTGCCCTTGCCACACCTCCAGGTGCCTCCCCCAAAGCTCCCATTGGCCAGGGTTCCCCATTCCCGGCCAATGGGAGCTGCGGGGGGAGGGGAGTCGGTGCCTGGAGGCAAAGGCAATGCACGTGGAGCCCTCTGCCCCCCGCCCGAGGGCCACTTCTGAGAACGGCGCCAGGCCCGCAGCGCCATGGGAGGCAATCCCGCGGGCCGAATCCAAAGCCCTGAGGGCCCAGATCCAGCCCGCAGTTTGCCCACCCCTGATCTACACAGACAAAACCAAGCCATGTTATAACAGGGTTGGGGACTAGTGTGTTACATTCCATGATGCCCTGATACTCAAATTGTATCTGTGCACAGGCCTGTAACTATAATTCAGTCCTGACAGCCAGATAATTTTCAGTCGCGGTACCCTGCCATCTTCCATTAGCCAATGAAAAATGTGTTAATTTTATCAGTAATGGATTAGTTGAGGAGGCATCTCCTAACTCTGAAATGCCAGCTGTGTATAAGTCAGTGATGGCTGTATCTGTACCATTTTTTTTTCCTGTTCTGTAAACTTTGGGTGCTGAGGCAGAGATGACTGTTGCCTGCTTAGGACCAAGATCAATCACTGATTTCATTCAAACAACCATTCATAGTATTACCAATAAAGCTAGGCTATAACTTTGCATCCAACTTACCACCACAGCACACAAGTTGTATTTTGGATTCTTCCGAAAGAGTGGATAAATATAAGGCGAAAGATCCAAGTTGCTTAGTGGATAGTAGATGTTAGTCCCCAGTTTCCTTTTGTAGCTGCCTTGATAGTCAAACCTGAAAATAAAACATTTTGAGACAGTATTTTCCACTACAAATGCTTTCCGTTATTGTAATGCTGCATTTGCTTACCTTCACATGGGCCTGCACAGTTCTTTGAAATGTAAAGTGCTCTCTTAATGCTAAGTATTATTGTAAATTACTGCCCCGAACAAAGATTAAATAAACAGACTGCAAGAGACATTTTGCAGTAAGAACAAGCAGGTCCTTGCTTTGTGTTGGGAGTGAAAGGAAGGTCCCAATGAGTGCACGGTCAATCTGTCACAAGATGCATGCTCAACAGGGGACGCTAAATCCATCTTTAGCACTAAAGGTGATTCTGGCCATTGCAGCACTAACCGTGCCAGAGTAATACTAGCCGAGGAGCTAGTGAGAAGAACGGAAGGAGTAAGATGGATACATGGAAGGAGTAGGAAATGTTCACTTTAAAAAAATAATTGATACACGATCAAACTTAACAAGAAGTGCTGGGCACCGAAGTAAGCCAGCTATGAAGTTGTAGTGCCTACTTGCAGATTCCTTGATTTCCTCACCCGCTTCCACTGTTGAGGGCAAAATGGCTACAGAACACATCATTTTAAAATCTTGGGCTCAAATGCAATTGTAGATCTCTGAGCTTTGTAAAGGGATGGGTAGAGGAATAATGCCCTATCTGCACTGTTGATGTGGCAGAACACTATTCTCTATTTTTGTCCATCACAGTCGTTAGTAGCTCTGTAAGTAGCTAACAGGACTAGCATCATCTGTACTGTAAAATTCCATTTATTAGTGTGATCCAGTTTTACAACAAACACCCTTCTTTCTTAATTTATTCCACAATTCTATCACTTTCCCCTCTATGACCAACCCCTCCCCTTTCAGAATTGCCTCTATTGCAGAGGGAGAAGCGGTACAAAAATGCACTGAGAGTGCAAATTGATGGCTTGGATAAAGTAACACATTCTCTGGGTTGATCAGGAGTCTGACTCACATGCTTTTCCTGTTTTGTAACTATCCAGGTACTGTATGTGCAAAAAAACTACGTGCACTGATTTTCCTTTGCCTCTGAATGCAAGTGACCTTCCTACATCCCATGTAAATCAGAGGAGACGTAGCTGTCCTACCAGATGCAGGCTGTACCTCTTTAAGTGAAAAATAACCATCTTTGGCGCCTTGCCTATGTTGGCCTTTACTGCAGCATCTTGCTTAGTTCCACAGAAGGAGCAGTGAATTTGATTGTTCCATGTCAGTGTGTCTTGTTGAAAGA